GTTCACTAAAGTTGGAATTCAGTTGTAAAATGGTAGATTAATTGCCTTTTGTATTAAATGAAATAAGAATCTCAAATATGCAAAGTCAGGAAATGTAATTGTAGTCTTCAATTGCTTATTCAATGCATTGGAAAACTGAATACAGAAGTATAGGGGAAAAAAAGGCCAAAGGTGGTTAAATGTAGCACATCACACACATTTTGCACTTTACTTAATGATCCAAGTGTTTATTGCTGTGAAGCAAATGCACCATTTAAAGACTTACGGTGGAATTGTAAAACGTTAAAAACTCTAATTAATTTTAGTCTGAAGCACGCAGTGTGCTCATTTTGCCTAAAACATTTTCATTATCGTCAGTATTTTTCCATTATTAAGATAAATTTTTCCTTCATTTTGCAGCACTAGCATATTTTCTGTATTAAAAGCACAGTTTTAAATGTTGCCGAGTGTTATCTGTAGTGTATGTTTTCAATGAATAGAAGAAGTTAGGTTTTGACCACAGATGAAACAATACGTTATACATTGTTTTCTACACCTGTTCTGTAACTGCCAGTAGTTAGAGCAATTGAGTGTGTCTACTTATTTTCCCCTAAAAACTATCTGTAGTTATATTTTTAAAGGACCATTTTTAAAGCATACAGACAACTTTACTAGTTTGAATCCAATTACAATAACTGCTTCTCTGATTAGTCAAAGGAATTTTTAAAATATAAAGAAGATTAATTAAGAAAACAGAAACATTTTAAGTCAGTCTTGTCCACACCTTCTCATTTCATCTTACTGTTGTATCACCATGTACCTTTGCCTGCTGTGAACAGCAAATTTGATAAGGTAAAAACGACTGACATCATTCTCTTTGTAAACATAGATCCCCATTATTCTTACTTATTTCTGGAAATAATTCATGTGGCCACATTACACAGGGACTTAAAAAAAGAAAGCTATGTATTTTTATTATCAAAGTAGAAAAGTAAAAAAATAAGGGAAAGTACAGACAAAAATTAAAATCAATAGCATCACCACTGTGAACATTTTAGGCACTTAGAAAAGGAAATGGAAAGCAAACTGTTTATTCTTGCTGTGTAGGGAATACGAATGCCTTGAATTTTTTTCCTCTTAAAAATGTTTGCCCATACATTTTACTTACTTTATTTAAATTTAGAAAACTTTAAGCAGCCATTTTTATTTTCTGTTTTTATAATCTTTTCATTTTGAAGTAATTTTAAACTTACAGAAAAGTTGCATTGTAATGTAGAGAATTCCTTTTTGCCTTTCATCCAGTCTCCTGTAGTGTTACTGCCTTATATAACCATAGTGCAATTAAAGACACCAGAAAATTGACACCAGGATGATACTGTTAACTACTCTATGGACCATATTCAAACTTCACCAGCTTTTCCACTAATGTCCTTTTTATAGTCCAGGATTCCACACTGCGTTTAGTCACCATGTCCCCTTAGTTTCCTCCAATCTGTGAATCTTGTCATTCATGACCTTGACACTTTTGAAGGCAACTGTTCAGTTATTTGTAGAGTGTTTAACTGATGTTTTCTTATAATTAGATTCAGGTTTTACATTTCGAGGAAGGATACCACAGACCAGAGGTGATAAGATCTTTTTAGTGACTCATATCAGGGACTTAATGTGTTTTACAGGTGATGTTAACCTTGGCCACTTGGTTAAGTGGTATTTCCCAGGTTTCTCTATTATAAAGCATTTATATAACCATCTGTAAAGATACAAGGAACCAATGAGGAAATTTTTCCCTTTGTATTTTCTTAACTGTAAGTAAATCATTCAAGCTTGACATTCTACAGAATAAATATAGAGTGATCTGTACTCATAGACATTTGCATCAAAGTATTGCCTGAGCAATATAAATTCCGGGTACTAAAATAATTGGCCATTGTTTTGAGTTAGCGCTTAGAAAGGAAAAGAAGGATGGATAGATTTTCTTAATTGACTTCAATTCATTGAACTATTCTGAGAACTAAATCACATTTGTAAATAAGGAAAAAGAAAGGGGCTCTTTTATCCTCAATTGATAATATAAACTGGGAAACATTTAAACAAAATCTTGCAAGTTCTTTTCAGTGGTAAGAGGGATTTAGTTTGGATACACATGGCAGGGGTTTTACTTATTTCTCCATTAGAATACCTCTTTTAGTCTTATATTGCCATCTGGAGCATTAGGCTATTATTGCATGGCCCATGTGTGCCCAGAAATTATCATTCTCTGTGCTCGAATTCTGTCTGTGTAAAAAGAGCAAGAAGGCCACAGAACCACTTAAGTATATTTGGTGTAAAGGGTGTTGTGGTTAAATGAATACACATTCTTGAAATTTTACGTGACTAGCAGATCTGCAAGGTTGTTACAAAGTGTTTTCTGGAGTATGAATTAACAGGCTTAGACATTAAGAGATAAGCACGTCTACTTTCCAGTAGCCACAAAGGGTACATTTTCTTGCTGGCATTTTCAGAACACTTCATGAAACAAATGTCAAACTTGTCAGGACTGTCACTAAGAAAATGATCCGTGTAGCAAGGGTCTTCTTTCATTGGGAAACAAACAGATGTCTTATCTCAGCAGAGAGAAAAAAACCTGCCATCTATCAGAAGAAATTTTTGCTTACATTTAATATCCACTAGTGAAGAAATGCTTTGGTAAAAAGCTTCCTTTCTTTGCATTTTTATTCATTATGCAGTCATTTGTCAATGATATTTAATTTTCTGCCTGAGCTACTTGATTTTATTAATCTTGAACTACATATAAAGTTCTTATGACAATTGACCTGTAATGTTATACCCACAAATTAGCACTTCCAAACAAATCTTTCCTGGAGCCTTATTGGATCAAATTTTATCACTTTTGTTTGTGATAAAAATCTGTTACTATTATATTGATGACATTATACCATAACTATCTTAATGTTTCTACTGTAGCAGACAGAGATGACTCCATTCCTCCATAATTCTTTTTGCATCTCTACCACAGCTGTATTTGAAAAAGGAAAAAGAGATCAGCTCTTATTAAGTGACTTAAAGGCATAAAAAGACAAGATATTGTAAGACAAGTCCTTAACATTAAGAAAGATGTGTAACAATTATGTACCTGTTCTGAACAGGAGGCAATGTCAGAAGAGACATGCATATATCTCTTTACTATATTATATTTCTAAGAAAAAATCAGCAACAAAAGGATTGACATATCTTTATATCTTATTCATGTATTAAGCCATATTCAAGTTGAGGGAAGTTTCAAATTTTTATTTCAACTAACAGTGTGGTCTGTAGCTTGTATGAATAGTTAACTATTAGCTGGGCTCGGTGGCTCAGCCTGTAATCCCGCACCTTTGGGAGGCTGAGGTGAGTGGATTGCCTGAGCCTGTGGGTTCGAGACCCGCCTGGGCAGTGAGACCTCATCTCTACAATAAATCAAAAAATCAACTGGGCGTGGTAGCACATGCCTGTAATTCCGGCTACTCGGAAGGCTGAGGAGGAAGGATCGCTGGAGCCCAGCAGGCGAGGCTGCGGTGGCCGGGAGCGGCCACTGCACTCCAGTCTGGGCGAGAGTGAGACTCCAACACAAAAAAAGAAAACATTTGTTGGACTCCAACTAAATACTAAGTGTGTCCTGCTAGATCATAGGAATATAAGACACAGAAGATGGAACCCTGCTTGAGAAACATATTGCCAAATTCAGCGTTACCTAACAAAAAGTTCTTGGTATCTTTACCTGCTAATTTAACACTTTTTGACAGTGTCTCACCTGGAGAAGATAGTAGAAAGTGTAAAGTGAGATTTGCTTTTGGTTAGTATGTAATTAAAATGTAAACTCTAGGAACTTTTGTCTAAAAGTGGAAATCACCTGCTTATGAATAAACTGTCAAGAGTCAGTCAAACATAATCAGAGATCTCTATTCACTAGAAATAAATTGGGAGAAAAAGTAAATGATATATAGGGGCTATCATGCTTGGAAAAATATATTAAAATTACATTGCCAAAATGGTATTCAAAACCCCATCCCTGGTATTCTACAATTATCTAATTCAACTGCATTTGTTTTTATCAAATACAGAGATATGGGGTAATATGTTCGATGATACTGATATTATATCTGATGTCTAGAGAAACTTTAAGAAATAGCTGTTTGTGCTTTAATTAACTCACTGAAGAGTTAGTGCCTTTTGTTTCAATTAATAAAAATAAAGATATTATGTGATAAATCAGAAGTATTAGGACTGCTTTGTACTTGGGTATTTTGAAGGAACGTGTGTGATGAGATAGGTTACAAATTGCAAGATGAAATATTTTTCCAGGCTCTCATTATTTACACTTTAAAGGTCACCATTTCACAGTGAACACAAGATACACTTCCTTCCTATGGAAGACGACATTATGATGTCACTCCATTTCTTCACCATATTCCACTAGAGCCTGCTGTGAATTATGAGGCCACCACTTAGAATCGGATCTGTAGAAGACTGTGAGCATTCTCCAGCCTGACATGCCCATGTTTCCTATTTTAGACCTGACTGATCTTCAGATAACATATGGTGGTACAAGTAATTGGAAAATTGGCAGACCTGTCAAGGAAGTATGCTAGATGGGACAGAAGTGCCATGCTGGAGCACATAACATATCTCAGAAGTTAAATTTATTGTTTTTTATCAAGCAGTGAAGTAAAATATCTGGTTCACCCCTACAAAGAATACTCTTCAGTAGTAGGTGTCTTTAGAGGTAATTTTTAGGGCATTGATAAAATTGGCTTTTAAAAACACATCATAGAAAGTGTTAGTCAATATGTATTATAAAACAACACCCACTGTAAATATTTAAATGTTACATGATTTTACCATTATGTTTATGGTTATTTTCCCCCACGATTACTAGAATCACAGCAGTTCATAGTTTTACAGATAAATACAGTTAAAACATGTTAAGCATAGCTGATTAAATGTCCTAAAGCTTATATTTTAATGTTTTTTAAAATTCACAGGAAGATGAAAATGAAGCCGAAAGAAAAAATATATCTCAGGAGCTCAGCATGGAACAGAAAAATCCAAAGAAATAAAAGATTTTCTGTAGTGTTTTGAAAAGTTTGCAACTTCTGTAGTAGCAGATAAAATTTCTAACTGTAAAATGTTAACTTGTAAAATCTAATTTGCAAAATGTTCTCAATAAAGTTGTTGAAAATGAAATAGGAGCTTGTATTTGAAATTTGTGTGTGTCTTAGCGCAATTTCAACTTTTATGTAAAAGCTGGATCTTTAAAAGTTTTTAAAAGGAGAAAGATGGGCAGTCCCCTCTCACTGTGGGAGCTTTTCTGTCCTCTCAAAAAATCCTGCTTAAAAAAAGAAAGAAAGAAAGAAAAAGAGTATTAACTGAAATTTGGGAACAGGGATAGAGTATTATCTGTAACCTGAGTTTTAAAGCATTTTTCTCCTTACTAGTCTCTATTGTTTTCTTTCAGGGCCTTAATAAGTTCCAGTTATCAATATAAAGAAAAAATAACATAGTTCAAAAATGAACAGGGAACGCTTAGAAATGCAAGCAACTCCAACCAGTCTGATTTCAAGAAACGTATGCATCACACATTACTCTAAGATTCCAGAGACTGACTAAAAAGAAATAACATTCTCTGTGGCAAAAGTAGTGCCGTGACTTTAATTCTTAAAATTTTTTTCTAAGGACCTACCATATGCAGGACCCTATGCACTTTTCCTGGACATTTCAAGAACAGCTTTGGTTTAGGAATTTTCCAGAATTCCTCTGTGCCCTACCCTTATCAGATCGCAGTAACTAGCCACGTCACACTCCCTGGTCTTGACATCCAAGCTGCCATTTGCCAACCGCAGCAGGAACAGTGACTCTACTTGTTTTCTGCTGAACTGAATGTTTTTGGCAGATAGCTTTGTTTTATTATTTAAGGCAGAGTGTCTTGAGATAAGCAGCAGAACTGGGGGTGGGGGGAGGCTTATAAGATAATGTGAGATTGGAATCAGGGTATTTGCCCTATAGCCGTATTTTTATCACATGAGTCTGACAAACTCCATCAGTGTATGACAGTGGGACATGTGCAGCTGTTGTACATTGGCTGAGGTGGAGGAAACTGAGTGAAGGAAAAACAGAAAATTCAGGATAGTCTCAAAGAATCTCATAATGGATGTCAGCACAGAGCCCATGGAATCAGTGCCCTGGATGAATTTTGGAGCAAAGACTTTGAGACAAAGAAAAGGCTGAGACAACAGTTCAGAATCTGCAGGGAGACTTTGAAGTAAGCAAATACAAAAGGTAATTTGTCATTCTTTCTTTCCCACATCCATCTATTTCAAAATACCTACACTCACACAGAGTGGGATTATATTAGTGTCACTTTTGAACAGAAGAAACAATACCTGATTCATATGATAGCTCACATTGTATCTATTATGTTGCAGGTACGGTACTAAGAGGTTAGCATGTGTTATACCACTCATGAGCATAGAAGTTAGGGACTGTTGCATTTCCTGCTTTACCAGTGATCCCTGTGAAGCTTAATAAATTAACCAAGATTACATAGCTTGTAACAGGCAGGGTTAGAGTTCACACTCAAGCAGTCTTACCACAGAACCTTGCATCTAATCATTGTAGAATGCCTATTATTACCATACCTCTCTTGGTCCTTTGTGTTCCCCCAAAATGTGCAGTCTCTTACTAGCACCTCATCCATCACTTGCCTCGCAGTTAGTTATTTTTCTTCTCCAGCATCTTACTGCCTTATTCATTTTAAAGACTTTGGTTTCAGTGAAATAAGTGAAGCCATTATCACCACCTTTCTATCTGCCCCCAAACATGATAATGTTTCATCTTTTCTACACTGACTGACGATAGAACAAGAAGTATGGAAGTACCTATTGCTTTTCTAAGATTATTCGAGAAATCCTTGGCCATTTTTTTCTTCAGTAGACCGTGCATTCAGTTATTAGTGTGCTGTCATCTCTTAATACTTGTATTTATAAAATGTACTGTTGAGTGTGAGGCAGTGACACTTACCTGCCCGCAGACTTTTAAAAAATATTTAAACTATCTCTCCAATCATTAAAAGCCCCAGTTTTCCTTTTTAAAATGTTTTTCAAAAATACATACGCCTTGGTTTAGGCAGTGGGTAATAAAGCAAAATCATCTTAAGATTCCTTTAGAAAAAATTTGTGTATGCATCACTCATATTTGGGTTCATACCTTCATGCTCTCTGTAAGTCATAATGCTACAAGGTTATTATGTGACTAAGTCAGTCATTAAAGTCAAATTATGTATATTGTATATTTTTTATATTACATAGAATAAGTTACATATTAGCTCAGGCTATAAAAAGCCCAAGGGTGGGCAACTTAAACAACAGAAATTGATCTCACAGTTCTGGAAGCTGGAAGTGCCCAGGTCAAGGTCCATGGGGCTCAGTTTCTGGTGAGGCCTCTGCTTTGCAGATGGCCTTCTCACTGCTTCCTGTGTGACTTTTCCTTCCTGCATGCACAGAAGGAAAGCAAGTGGGAGAGAGAAGGAAAGAGAGAGAGCGTGTGTGAACTCTCTGGTATCTTCTTACAGAAATTAAAAATCCTACCAGGTCAGGGTCCCAGCCATAGGACCTCATTTAGGACCTTCCTCAGTGGGAGTTAGGGCTTCAACATATGAATTTTAGTGAGATGGGGGAGGAGGAACAGAACACATTTCAAAAACACATTTTAAAGTCCAGGTTTCTCTGTTATAACACTTCTGAGCTATGTTAAGGCACATTGGAGCCAAATCCCAATGAGATGCTCATGGTAATATATATGATGTATATTTAGGGAAACGTGAATAAGGTATAATCTAACAGTTAATTTCTAAAGAAGACAAATCACTGCACATTCAGCACACCTGTTCTGTTTACCTCTTTATCCCTATCACTTAGCTTGGTTTTTCTGGCCCACACCCAGTATAACACTGCCACTAAAAATCAGCCTAACAACAATGTTGAATGCCTGAACAACAAGAATTTCTTCTTTTTTCAAATTTATTTTATTTACTTATTAGAATTTCTTTATACTTCAAAATCCCTGGATAGTTTTCACCCACTGAACCCAATTGTATTATCTTCATACCTTTTAAAAGAGTTTCAAAATAAAGGAACTATAAGCCAATATTTGCATCTATCATACTTGGGAACAGTATTTTTGTTGGTTTTTTTAAAAATTATTATTGTATTGAGAATGATTCTCTTTCCTAAGGTCTGGGGAACAATCGTGGCAGCAGAAGGGACGTTGCACTGCTCTTGAACAGAAGTTACTGGGCACTGGGATGCCCAAGTTCTTAATATTGTTCAACAAAGCACTACTGGGACCTCCTACATGCTACATGCTGTTCTATCACTGGGGATTCAATGACAAACTTCCTTTGCTGATATCTCAAAATTTTTGATATTTTAACAAGAAGCCCCATGGTTTTACTTTTCACTGAACTCAAATGCCATAGCAGACACCACCATCATGTTGTTTATACTTTTTAAATCAATTTTATTGGATTGTAATTTACATAAAATGCACCCATTTTGAATGTACAGTTCAGTGAATTTTGACAACTGTATATCCATGTAACCACTCCCCCAGTCAAGATACAAAGTATTTCCATCACCCCAAAAAGTTCTTTTTTTGCAATTTGTGATCATTCACACACCCCTGCTATAGCCACTGATCTACTTTCTTTCTTGGTTAGTTTTGCCTATTTGAAAATGTTTTACAAATGGAATTATGTCATACTTTTGTGTCTGGCTTTCTTCACTCAGCATAAAGTTTTGAGTTTCATCTAGGTTATTGTATGAATCAGTAATTTGTTCCTTTTTATTACTGAGTACTTTTGTCATTGTATGAATATACTATAGTACATGTTTCCAGTCACCTGTGGATAGATATTTGAACAGATATACAATAGAAAATATACAGCTGGTCAACAAGCACATGAAAACATACTCAGTCTTATTAGTTATCAGGATGACACTAATCCTGATCACTTACAGCAAATGAAAACCACACCAATTTATCACTGCATACCCACTAAAATGTCAATAGCTCTGTTACCCAATTGGGCAGCCACTAATCACATGAAGCTTTTGAACCTTTGAAACAGGGTGAGTCCCAATTGAGACGTGCCTATAGGCATAAATACAGACCAGATTTGGGGGCTGTAATACAACAAAAAGGATGTAAAATATCCTTAATAATTTGTATTCAGACTACATATTGGAATGATAATATTTTGAGTAGATGTTAAGTAAAATATTAAAATACATTTTAACTATTTTTGCTTTTTAAACTATGGCTACTAGAAAGTTTGAATGTAGACAGTTTCCATTGGTCCCCACTGGACAGCCCTCCCAGGCTATAATTTAAAGTCTGATAATGAGATGTTGTCAGGGTTATGAAGCATTGTTGGTGGAAGTGTAAAATAGTACATTATTTTGGGAAAGAGTTGGGAAATTTCTTATGAAAGTAAGCATATGCTTACTTCCAGTATTTCCACTAGTAGATATTTACAAGAGAGAAATGTAAACATAGGGCCACACAAAGATTTGTACATGAATATTTTTATCAGCTTATATTATTAATAGCCAAAAACTGGAGCCATTTTTTTTTTTTCAAGAAAAGTCATACTTTGAAATGGTTATTTCTTTCAAAAACCATTTGTCACACTAAGGTGTAGTGTGTGGTTCACAAAATTAGGGTTTAATTCTTGATTTTCTTACAAGGAAATTGGATATATTATGTAATAATATTTGTAGCAACAGTGAAAACGTTAGAAGTAATCACTGTCTATAAAACATGCTAATGAGAGATTAAAAACAAAACTAAACAGCATGCAAAAAGTTCTACAAATCAAACATTCAAAAACTAGTCAGTGTGATATCTTATCTGAAAACCACTAATGTAGCTAAAGTTTTTCAGTGATTCCATGTTATTTTAATGATTTTTTTGAATGTCTTTTGCAGTTAAAATGTATTTAAACCTCATTTAAAAATTATAATCATAGCCATATCTTCTGGTAAATGATATCATTTTCCTTGAGATTAGACAGCTTGAGTGACAGGGAAAGCAGAGGTGTGTGTCCAGTTGTTTCAAATTTAAGGGTCTGTGAACTGCTTTGAGTCCACAAAAACCCTACCAAGTAGGACAATAGCCTCTCAGGGTAT